AACGCCTTTTTTAGGAACGCTTTTTGAGAACGCTTTTTGGAAACGCTTTTTTTTGGGAACGCTTTTTGAGAACGCTTTTTTTATGGAAATAACGCTTTCCTGCATGTCTGGCATATGCCAGGGTCGGTTTTCATAATGTTAACCATTGAAGCCGGAATGCGTTGGAGGTGCCCGCAGGAAAACATGGAGCAGAAGAGGTTATTTCCACGCGATGGCGAAAGAACTGATTCCATGTTTTTCTGGTAAACGTCATGGAACAAAATGTACATCGTGGGGGATTTTCTCGCCTGTTCTGCATTCGCCGCGATGCACAGTTCAGAACAAGCCTGCTTCTGACCTCCGGACAACACAATTTGTTAACAGCAATGTCAATGCATGTTCTTCGTCCGGCACATGTTCCCTGACGATGGACCAACACAATGACAGAAACACGGTTGCCGCGTTTCGTGTTGGCACCAAGTGACATGTCGAACGGAAGCCACTGCCGCTGTGCGAGATGTAAGGTTTACAGCGTACATTGCATTCTGCATGTTCGCTGTGCTCAATGCACCTCAGCTTGATTCAAAGAGGTGAGGGTGTTGAAAGTTTGCAGATTGCCAGTTAGCCATATTGGGTGTCGTGTCGAGCCTTAGTGAGGTTGTTTCTTGCATTCGGGACGAAAGTTGTGTGTTACCTTAAATTCAAACCACGAACAGAGTCGTCGTGTGATTTCTTGGGTTACAACATCGTCCGTGGACCCAACGACCAGGTCATGACAGGTATCTTCTGTCAAGTAGCTGTCGCAACTTGGCAAACACAAGTACCGCTCAGTTCGTTGCCATGTTTGCATGCCTGTGGGAAAGCGTGGCGGTTTTGGACGTGGTTTTGCATTTTGACAGGTTGGGGCGTAGACGCAGGATGAAGCAGGTTCGCCCACAAAACCGACATAGCTGATAGTACCACCACTGTGCAAACTGCGCAACATAGTATGTAAGCTTCGAATTCGTTTTGTGATAGCTAGATGGGTTGGCGTTTTGCAATGCTCGTGCTGCCCCACTGAGGAAAGCTCTCGCAACGATCCACAATTTTTAATGCAGCACTTGCTTGTGCTTCAGCTGCAGTCTATGTGATTTGCAACCTATGCGTCGCAGCTTGCAAGCCGCTCGCTTTGACGAGCCTGACTTGGTCGTTATACGGGTCATAGTGATCAGGCAGAGAAGGATCGCCAAACCGATCTGATCCGGAACTTATTTCGCATCTTCGACAGGCACCTCGCCACAGCATGAGTGTTTTTCATCTTACGCTTGGTGCATCGTGTCAAAGAAAGCTCATCCGCAAGCCGTTCGACTCGCACAAGCCGTTCGACTCAGGGAAAAGCGAGGCTACATAGCGCTCACAGCATCTTGGCAGCCTGCACATAAATCATACGGCACACGCTATCTGTTCCGGTGGCTGACCTACAGGGACTATTGCGGTTTACAGTGCACAAATGACCATGGCAGCCGAGGAACTGGAAGACAAGTTTAACGATGAAACGGCCCAAGGCTTGTCTGTGTACTGGCCAAGAAGCACGTTACTTTATTTCACGTCCAGTTTAATCTAGATGTAGAGAGCGAACCCGTTTTCCAATCAAACAGACGAGCAGCAAGAAGTCAAAGTCTTCATGTGCATCATGTGAATGACAGATTCCTTTACGCCCAGAGCTCTGAAGCGCGCCAGGGATGATGGGTCTGCTGGAGATTTATCCAGAGAGCAGCTGGTCTCTTTTCAAGAAGCTCCTGAGCCGATACTAGCATTATCAGCCTGCTTTCTCGGATCTGGTCGAAGTGGCCTTGAATTGCTTCCTTCGTGAAGGTCAGTTGCTCTTCATGTGCTGCGCTAAGGTTGGATGAGAATGCAGACGGAAGACTCAATGAAGAGCCTTGTCCGGTGTTGACGAACAAAGCCAAGACAGACAAGGCAATAAGACAAGTCGTTTAGCAAATGTCGATGTTGAAAGCAAGGCACGTCTCGGGAAAACACTAGAGTTTACCTTGTCTAGCTCTTTGCATGCATCCAGGGGTGAGATGGCCCGCCGACCGTATATTACCAAATCGCGTGTTGAGGCATGTCGCTTGACAAATGCATACTGAAACGCATAACGCGTCACGCTCCCTGTCGAACTCGTGTGTCCGAGGGATTTGACATTCATTGCCATATCTTTTGTCTGTGGTGGGCCTTCTGGTGTGTTGTGCCCCTCGGGTGCCGTGCCTGAGCACGCCCTCTTGCACCGCGCAGCCTAATCTGGCTTCACACACCAAGGACGAGTTTGTGAATGGCATCTTCAAGTTGAAGGGTGTTGCAAAATCCTGGGACGTCGAATCTTCGCTGCAATAGACAGTTTTGAATGGCGCCCGAAACTTGAGCCTGCAAGAGGGGTGTAGTCAAATGAAAAAGGTGTCTTGAATCCGAGAGCTAAGACAAGTCAGTCATGATAGTATCTGGTAGTATTGTTCCTGCAGTATGTTCATTCATGAACAGCGGTGCGCGGAACATGTGGTCTCCAGATTGAACATCTGAACGCAGGGCGAACGTGCGGTCCTGAATTTCACCCATCGCAAGCTAAGGAAGAAATCTTGCAAGACGTTTGGCAAGCATTTGGGAGGATGCAATTTGACCTGGTTTCTGCAATCACAGTAGACACGAACGGGGCTACCTTCAGGGCTCGCTATGGGCTCTCGACCTCACTTTCATCGTCCATGTCTGTTTTTCTCTTCGGCAGCAATAAGACGTAGTGTCAGCAATGCTGATATTCATTTCATGCACTCACCACATCATATATTTGATTTGGAACAGTGCTTCTGGATCGACGACGTGAGTCAGACTGAACGTAATCTGTGCAGCTCCCACCTCAGACGCCATTCGCATGATCTGTTGCTCTACTTTGCGCAGACTCCAAAACCTCAGCTGCTGAGGGCCAGAAGCAGCTGACACGAGCGATTGAATCGCACCTGCAGTCCTCAAGCGCAAGATTGTCTGTAGCCCAGTATTGTTCGGCTGGAACTGGCCGCTCACAAGACTCACAGGCAAGGTGCCACACGAAGCTGATGTGCATCAGCCGAGGTCGAAGAACAAGATGATTCAGGAGTTAACGTAACTTGGCCTGGCCAACAGCTGAAGGCTTGGTGTTAAGTACGCTTCTCAAACGGGCTTACTGACGGAGCTAATCTACTCGTGCTTCATCATGCAGAGACTGCCAAAGCCTTCAGCATTTTGAGCTGGAGCTGCTGGCTGGCGCAGCGAAGTCGCTGGGATGCTTCTGTTTGGTGCTTCGACCTCCTTTAGCATAGAAGTGCTGCCCGTGAAGAACTCATGGATGGCTCGGAGCCCTGCACTGAAGCAACTCCGCGTTCCGTACAGGTTCGATCTGGTGTGACCGCTTGTATAAATAGCCAGCTTAAGGGGACACCAAAGCCTCGAAGAGGCTCTCTGAGCTGCCAAAGGCAGGTTTTCTGAAAGCTTTGCCCCTGCAGACAGGTCTGCCGTGCATCGAAACATGCGGTGGAAGCATTCATTGCTGCGCTTCTTGCATTTGGAGCTTGCCAAAACGGACAACAGTTCAGCCCACTCTCCACGAGTCAGAGACAAGGTCAGGAATAAGGACTCTAATACTGACTATAATAATATACCCCTTAGCCCTACTGCAAAGAAGCTTCTATTTTTGGCAGGACGACTCGACAGACCGGTGCTGCGGCCCGGCGTGGAAGGCGGGCAGCGCTCCCCGGATGGGAGGATCTAGACTGACAGGGAGAAAACCACACGAAGAAGAGCACATGGAAAATAGCAAACTGACTGTCTCAGTAGACATCGCTTCTCCGTAGAACTACCACTGATAGGATACCTCTCGTGGCTTTTACAGATCTGCGGTGGCTGCAAGGAGCCTGAGTGTGGCACTTGGGATCTATCCTACGAAGTGTGGCACGAGGGGGCAAACCTGACCAATACTGGTTTATGCCTGTAAGTAGTAAAAGGGCTCCCCCTTGACTTACATTCCTCATGAGTAGCTGTCGCCATATCGTGGTGCAGTGGTTTTTGTTTACGCAGGTACCTGAAAGAGAACCCCAGTTTTGGAAGAATCCCTTGCAGAACCCGTGATTGAGAGCCGGGCGGCGAAGAAGAAGAAGTTTGACGAGGAGGCAGGAGTCGTTTTTAACCTGCCAAGTCCATGAACCTTCTTTGCAGATAAGTAGCAGCTTCATTCAGCCACAGAGAAGAACACATTTCCAGACAGCTGAGCTAGAAGAGATGAGAAGAAATTAGATGGCTGCGACGAACGCGACAGGTTTTCGGCACGAAGTACTTCTGAAGCTGAAAGAAGTACGCTGTTGCCACAAGCGTGCGGATGCAACAGATTTTCGGCAGCATCTACTTCTGAACTTGGAAGAAGTATGCAGTTGCCACAGGCGTGCGAGGCTCAAAATATCTGTGTGTGTGAGGGAGAGCGAGAGAGCGTGTTTGCCTCTGTGCGTGTGCGTGCATGAGCATGCTGGTGTGTGTGTGTGTGTGTCTCCCCCGAAATTCTAAGGGACTGCAGGGGATTCACTTCATCATTTACCCAACACTGCGAGTGAAGGGCGTGAGCTGACGGTCCATCGCTCACTTTCCCAATTTCTTCAACTGTCTGTGTTCGCATTGATTGGGTGCAACTCGTTGCGAACCCGCCGTTGTCTGCAAGACCAATGGAGCTTGAGCTGACTGGACTGAGGCTGGCATCACTAGCCATACTGATACCAGCAGAAGCAATGCATCGGGTGAACTGTCGGACGATGGCGCGAGAAGAGAATGATGCAAGCAAGAGCAGCGCGACATGTGAAACACTGGCCGTGAGCAATGGAGCTTTCCTCAAACGAGCGTGATGGATCCTCGATGGCACTTGCCATGATGTCTTCTCAGCGAGGCCAGTCTGAGCTGCGCCTGCCATGGGGTTGAGCCTGCACATGTCCGTTTGCTTCACTGACCTGGCCATTCAATTCCCCCAAGACGTCTCTAAGCCTGTCAAGACACGCAGAGGCTGGTCTCGCTGGCCTCGGCCTGGAACATTGCTGACCAGCAGCTCGGGCTGTTTATTTGCCAGGAGCGTATTACATGTGGATCGAGAGCAACACAATGATTTCCAAGCAAGCCGGGCTGGCTTGTTGCTTCTGAGGTTCGTATGACGGAACCACCAAGTTCTGGTCCATCTCAACAGGGCGCTGCTGGCGCAGCCTCAAGCAGGAGGGCCCTGTGATGTCTGTCGCCGTGTCGTCAGACGGGAGGCCACGACGGGCGTGTTTGGTCAACTTGATGCTGCATGTCCAGTGATGGCTGGGTTTCAATCCATGTGGAAAGTCTTAACAAGCCCACACCTGCACTACCAGTCCAGCGCGTATAATTTCTGAACAGCTGTAAGGGCATCGAGTTGAGTGGTCTGGGTCGGGCTACAGGCCGTGGCTGTGTATCCTGCCGCTTCAAGACGTTTTTTCTCTAGGTTTGCGTCTGGTCCCGTGTCGCCCACTGGCAAGAGTCCGCTCCTGCGTTTCCCGTCCCGCGCCGTGGTGTCCCATGCGCAAGCCCGCGCACTGCTCGCGAAATTGCCATTCTCGGTCTGAGAGCATGTCAGTATCAAACCTGCATGCAAATGGCTCTCGGCCTTGATGGCATCTTCTATCGGGCGTCCTTCTTGCTTTGTGCAGGTATCTGTTGACGGCTGCGTATGATGGTGTCGCTGCAGTGTGGTGCGTGCAGAGCTTAGCCATCTTTTGCTACTGTGATCTTGCGAATCACGGCAGAATTCTCTCTGCATCTTCTTGCCTCAGGTGGCCAGAGGGGAAGCGATCCGAACTTTGAAGGGCCAAGAGGGTGGCCTTTACACGGCGGTATTTTCACCGAATGGCCAGTCAGTGCTGCCCCTCGTCTCCATTTCGCACTGCAACAGTGGTCCCAGCTGTGTCGCGGTGTGAACGGCTCTGCACTGTAGCAAGAAGTAGGGTTACTAAGTAGCTGATGCCTCTCAGTGGGTTGCGCATGTCTTTGAATCAGGACGGCCTCTGCACATGGAGCTGCCTGCATGTGGAGATGGAGGATCGGCAAGGCCGCCTTCGTTGTGGCTGCAGAGCTAAAACTTCGTAGTCTGCATCAAAGGGCAAGCCGTGGTTAGTAAACGACCGGCGGGTCCTCTTCGTCACAGGTACAATGGCTCTTGAAAGGGCACGAGGACAACTACATGCGTTCCGCGACATTTTCACCGGACGGAGAAACCATTGTCACAACATCCTCGGATTGCTCACTGCGGATCTGGCAGCTCGACTCGTCGGACGAGTCTAGAGCTCCTTCGCCGCACAAGGCTCTGGCAGATGCTCTTTGTTCCACTGGAGCGCTTGAGGCGCCGGTCCTTCTCAGAACACTTGAGGGCCACTATGGCTGGGTGGGCGACTCAGACTCAGCTTGCGCGCGTCCACTTTGGAACTCGACTGGTTCTGCTGGTCCTGCGCAGGTAAACACAGCGGTCTTCTCGCCCGGTGGCGATCAGATCCTGTCAGCGGCTGCTGACAAAACAGCCAGGCTCTGGTCTGCATCAACAGGCTCGAATTGTTTTAAAGCAATCCTTTAAAACCAATCCGTCAAAACCTGACATGAGAAATCCCATGTCAGACGCGAGGATTCGGAGCTGTGTGCGTGCCAGGAGCCTGCCTGCGGACCTTCACAGGGCATTGGGCGTATGTGCGATCGGCTGTTTTCAGTCCGCAGCAGACTATGGTTCTGACGGCTTCAGCAGACTGGACGGCAAAACTGTGGAACTCGCAGTCGGCAACTTGCATACAGACCTTCACGGGTCACTCGCAATGGGTCAACATGGCGTCTTTCGTCAATGGCCTCGCCAAGATTGTTACGTGCTCCCGGGCGACTCGGCCGTCAACTGCCGTCCCGCGCTTTGGATTCGTCTGAGAAACTTAAATCCCTAAGCTCGTGTTCTGTGGACTGGTGTTAACTGCGACAACCTTGCGTAGCCCCACCGCGAATCAACAGATTGAGGCCCTTCCGAGTGTGAATTTCAGGGAAAGTCAAGCAGTGCTTGAACCAGTTGGCCAGCGGGGATGCGTCTGTGCAGACCTAGATCGCTAGCATTTTTGACTTGTACAGAGGTTTCTAGCTCTGACGTGAGTTTGTCAAAATCGTCAAATGAGGAGTCTCTTTCTGGGTGTCTTTGACAAACACCCACCGTTTAGGCGGCATATTGGCGTCCCTTCTTCCCTTCTTTTCTGAACTCCACAATCCAGTTGGCTCATGAGTTTCTGGAGTGCGAGGAAGGCCTTTCTGACTAAAGCGAATTGTGCTTTCCAGGTGTGTGGGTGTGTGTGCAGGAGTTTCTTTACGCTAGGAGTTGGGTCGGCCTGTCCAGGAAGCAGGGTTGGGTTGATTGGGTGGTGGGTTGCTTATGCTTTGGCTCACTGTTTTGTTGCTTCCGTCTCTGTCAGCACGGGACACCAACAGCCCTGCCGCGCTGCGGTGCTCACGGCTCCCGAACACTGGAAAGCTTCTTCGTCGCCGTTCTAAAGATTCGCCGTTTGATTTGGCGCAAGATATCATATGTCAACAATGTTGTGAACGATGTGTGCAGCTGTATTGTTGCTGCATTGAGTCGTGCTGGGGCTCGGATGCCTCTGATGGATTGAAGGGCCACCATCTTGGCAAGAAGGGTGAAATTCCACACGGTTCGTGTTTCATGAGCCTTGAGGACAACAGCGCCCGGCTCTGGGATACCAAAACTGGCGCCTGCCTGCGCGTGTACGACGAGCACAGTGACTTCGTGATGTGGGCGATGGTTCCTGCCGCGCTTGCAATCAAAGACCACAAAGACCAAAGGCGCAAGATCAAAGCAACTTGGCATGGACAGCGCTGAGCATCGGATGACCGGAATCATGAGCAATACCAATCATCCATTTATGATCATCATTGCCAGATTCACAGCAGAACTGCATGCATGCACACTTCGTAAATGTCAGGTCCATGTCCTCATCTGCGATTTTGCATTTTTGCATCCCTACACGTGCAAGCGCGCGGTCACGCCTGCCGGGTTGCAACAGTTGAAGTGACTCTTCGTGGTCGGTAGTCGGCGGGTCTTCGTTCGCTGCAAGGCTGGCCAGAGGCGCTGGATAGCCAAAGCCGCTTCCATTGACTGGCAGAAAGATGGTTCCGTTTGGGCAGGGAGGATGCGGCTAATTACACCAATCATACCATCACCATACTGTACTTGTTTCTGTGTGTTATTCATCGGGAGGATGCAGCGGTGCCTTCACACATGGAGCCATCAAACAGCTGTCGCGTTCTGGCTAGGTCGTGGTGTGTTCATGCAGCCTTCTTCACAGCGTTGGCTCAGAAGTGTGCAGGCAAAGCGCTTATATCTTATGAACAACAGAAGACTGTTAAGATGAGGGATAGGATTGTTGGCGAGATTGCAGTCGCTGCACCTGAACACATCCCAAGAAAAACACATGTCCATGCGGTGAAACTAGGAGGCTTGACCCGGCCCGACCCTGGTGCAACAACGCACTCGTATATCGCACCACATCACCCATAGTCTTTACTCAAAAACCATTGCCGTAACATCATAAACGGGTCACTGGCTGAAGACCGGGCCAGTTGCAAAGATCATGGCGCGGAAGCGAAGCTTCCGATTCGGGCTTTGCTTGCCCTGTGCCGTCGCCCTCTGCTGGGGCTTTGGCCTGGGCAGCCGAGCAGCCTTCACTCCGAGAGGAGCCGGGAGCCGAAACGGGGAAAGAGGGTAACCACGGAAGTGAGTCGAAGTGAGGCTCCGGCTCTGAGCCGTGTGCATGGAGCTCAGAGAGGTGGCGGGCGCGGGCGATCTCCGGGCGACGGCTCGCGATCCCCTGGAACCTGGTTGGAGGCGGCGCCGACCTGCCAGTCGAGGTGCCTCTCTGTCAGATAGAGACATGCCGAGACTTTAAGCCGAGATCTGCGAGGTGCGAGAGGCAGCGGACACTGCTTGCAGGGCTGGTTGCTTTGGCTGCAAAGTCCGGAGGTCGTTGAGTTGGTGCAACTGAAGACTTTCATGGCTCAAGGAGAGGGCCTGGACTTGGAACTGGCCGTGCCCGAAGACTCGGACATGCAGGAGCTGACAGACTTGGTCGATGAAAGCTTCCAGCGCGCCATCCAAGCCAGGCCGGATGCTACAAGCAGAGCCTTGCAGGCCACGATTTTCAGCGAGATCCTGTGAGATCCTGCGAGGATGGTTGATGGTGGGAACCCGCTTGGCGACTTGTGGAACGGCTGGGTGTCCTTGAGTGAGCGGCAGATGACCCTTGGGGCGATGCGAAAGCGCCTGGCGGGCCTGCTCTCGTCGCCCAGTCTGAGGCGACCCAAGCACGACCGCGACCCCGACTTCCCGGCAAACTTCCCCAACTCCCCCCACGCCCCGGCAGGCGGCCGAGCAACGATGAGTGGAACCTCGGAGCTGCTCGGAAGAAGCTTTGTCGGCCTGTCCCGTCTTGAACGTCACCTGGCTCGAAGGTTCTTCTTCGCGAGAAGGGCGTCGAGAAGCCGCCAATCGGATACTTTGAGATTTGCATGCAGAAGCCAGAGGGGATCAGCAGGCCGGGAACGTTGGTCTTCTTGCTGGGGCCGTAGCACCTGACTCGTGGCATCAGAATGCTATCTTGAACGGCCTGGTTGGCGAAGGCGCAGCGCAGCGCTGGAGCCATACCTCAAGAACTTGTGTGTGTCCAAGGTTCGCTTTTGCAGCCAACGAGGAGTGGTAGAGTAGAACTCCAAGTGCGGTATCGACCCCGGAAAGGCTTACCGAAGACGCGGGCTTGGCAAGAAGCTCCTGAATTTGGTGGAGGCATTTTGCAGGACTGGGAGTGCCACTGCCACATGTCGTTCTGCCTATCGTGAACGTCTCGATGTCTAGTCATCTTGAACGGCACCGCTCGATGAAAGTGGTCGCTGTGGTTCAGACCCTGAGCGTGTTTACACCAGAATCTTGAATCTCTTCCAGACCTGCCTCCGGATTCAGGGGCTCGAACGTTCTGTCGTACAGCGGCACAGAGAGAAAGGACTAATTATTCAGACTCAGAGCTTGCAGTGAGTGTAACATGCAGCTGCAAGTCCGCACCGGGAGGCCATCTGATCGTTCCGTGTTCGATACCCGCTCTTGCTTTGCCTTGCATCTCCCCCCGTTTGAGTTGACGAACCCTGAGGACAGCATGGCAAGGCAGCGCAATCTATCTGCATACAGATGATGATGCAGCAGCCTTCAATCTCTACAACAGCACCGGCTACACGGTGAGGAAGCAAGAGAAGGCCAGGTGCTGCAGTGCATCAAATCCACGCGGGCCGTGAGGTGGCCCCAGCTAAACAGCATGGGTGACCATCGTGAACCTGTCCAACATCAACCTAAGTATTGGTAAACACACCGACAACTGCCGCCACCCGACAGGATTCTCGATGAGGAAACTAACCGACACACATTTTGCACTCTCGCCACCCTCCGTGCAGCGAGTTTGTCGGGTCTTTCTTGGCGTGTTTGTTGGTATGCTGCTTCTTGCAGAGCAAAGGCTAGCGTCCCATTGCAGCTGCATGTTGCGGTCGATGTCCGTTGTTTGTTAACTGAGTGCTGGGCATGGGTGTGGGTGTGTGTGTGTGTGTGCGTGTGCGTGTGCGTGTCTGTGTGTTTGTGCGTCTCTGTGAGTGTGTCCTGGAACGAGCACCACGACAGCCAGCAGACACCAGGAGGACCCCAAAGGATTTCAGAGCCCACCAGGAGACTCCAGGCGAAGAGACCAGCAGACCAGCAGGAGACCACGGAGCACCTGAAGACTACCACGAGACCATCGAGCCACCACGGCCAAATTTCAGGGGCACAGCCACAATGTTTCCCCCAAGTGCCTGCGAAATTCGGCAGTACTTGACATTCGGAGCCCCGCCGAGCAGCGTTTCTCTGCGCGGCCACGCCAACCATTCCCCCTTCACAGATAAACTCCAGACTGTTTGGGGAAAAAGCAAGACTTCCTATGCTTTGGACAGGTTTTGAATCCGCAGCTATCGAGCATCGGGGAATTCTTCAGGAAAGGGCGTTTCGCAAGAGCTCACAGAACTCTGAATCTCAGAAGCTGTTGCCAGGTGCAGGATATCCTGGTTTTGACCGTAGGCTGATGGCCGCATGTAATATGCATTTGTTTTTGGAATGGCCTGAGTTTTCCGAAAGCAATGTAAGTCCGACAAACAGAACTCGTTGAACTTGCTGATCAGCAATGAGCCATTTGGCCGCAGGATGGCGAAGGCGTCAGCTTCTACATGTTCAAACGCTTGGAGTAGATGCGAGCGGCATATGCTGCTCTGCTGGATAAGCGAAAGTTACGGGATCCGCTGTTCGTTTTTCGAGCTTGCAGTGTTGAACGGCAGTGCCATGTACTGGCAGGCTGGTTCCTCTATCGTTGAAAGCTATATCATCGCGGTAGACTAACCTGTAACAAAGTTGCTGAGGAGTGTGGTCGGCAGTCAAATTGAAGCAATGAGAGCGCCGATCTTCACGACTCAAAATCTTGAGTCGTCAGAAATTGGCGATGCGTTTGGTGCTAGAGTCTAGAGGCGATTAGTCTGCGGCTGGGTTCGCTCAAGGCGTGCACAGCCGAAACGGCATAGCTTCGGAAGAACCCTGCGGGCCATCGCACAATACTGGAGGGAAGAGAGGGTATTCGTTAATAGATCAAAAATTATCTCTAGAGATTGGCAGAGATCTCAAATAACTAGAATTATATTTATCTATTTCAAATTTTTCTAGAATTATAAATTCATTAATTCGTTGGTATTCGTTTCTTCGAGAAATATTTATTATTTATATGGTCTCTATTTTTATTTTATGAATATATATTTTTAGAAAACGTCGTATTATGGGTCCGGATTTGAGGGCTTTCTGCTTTTTGGTGCTTCCTATTTTTTTTACTATAGGTTCGGATATTCTAATAAAGAGATATTTGTCTGATTATAAAGCAAGCTGCTATAAGAATAATACGCGTAGATAGTATTTTTAAAACTAGGTTAGGTTAAAGTATAGAGTTAAAAGGCTTAGAGTTTTGGGGTTTGGGGGGAAGTAATGGGGGGAAAAAGATTTCTTGTCGCTTCCCCTATATTCAAGGGAAATCGTAGAATTTATGCCATTATCTCGAAGGAGAATAATCGATTGCAAATTATATTGAATTCTGATTAGAATATATTGATGACATATTTAATATATTTATTATGAGTTTGAGCATAGATCTAATAAAGTTTATTAGATTATAAATACTTTAAACTCCCAATAATGATTTAAAAAAGAATATGGAGGAGAGAGTCAAAATTATAATACCTAAATATGGTATTTCATTTAATAAGATATGATTGATATTATATCTAAAGAGAAATGAGATGGGTGGCAGACCCGAATATCTCTTAATAGATGATTTGGAAGCATAAAACCAAATATCTACCACAAAATTATATATATCAATTACCATTGAACATATTAATAGTAAATTTAGCCATTATATTTGATTTCTGTAAATATCAGCTAAAATGCTTAATAATCATAAATAATATACTGAAAATCGTTTTTTCGCTCGAAAAATACGGACCTATATTCCGACATACTCTC